GAGAGAGAGAGAGAGAGAGAGAGAGAGAGAGAGAGAGAGAGAGAGAGATATTTTCAAGAGCTTAGAGAACTTTTTTTTTTAAATCTAGTATAGAATCTTACAGTCTGTCCATCAATCAGCTTATCTGTTAACGGTCTGGTTTATTTGCAAGCTCTTTCTGCTACTACAACTTATATAAACTTGTTATGAATTATTGGGGGTTTGTTGCATTTTGTATTTGGGGTTTTACTTCTGTAAGCCACCTGGAGCCACTATGATTGAGCTAGGCAGCCATATAAATTTTCTAAATAAAAATAAATATAAAATAAAATTGTAAAGTAAAAGTAAAAGTAAAATATCATCCACATGGTAGTCAAGACCAGGGCTGGGCTGCTGGGGGTTTGCAGGGGTTCAGGGGAGCCCCTAGTTAAGATTCTGCGCAGTTTGGAGAACCCCCAAATCCCACTCCTGGCTGGCCCCACCCACCCACCTCACCCCACCCCTCCCAGGAGTCCCCACGTGGCCCATTTTGGATGCAGGGCCCACGCGGAGGCTCTGGGAGGGCAAAAAACGGGCCGCCCAGAAGGTCAGGAAGGCCAGAAATGGGCCTGTTTCCGGCTTCCAGAGAGCCTCCAGAGCCTGGGGAGGCTGTTTTCACTCTCCTAGAGGCTCGAGGAAAGCCTCCGGAGCCCCGGGAAGGCAAAAACACACTCCGCTCCACCGTGAAGGCAGCCACCCTGGCTACGCCCATCCAGCAACCAGGCATAGAACCTGTTGCTAAAATTTTTGAAGCCCACCCCTGGTCAAGCCTAAATGACCAACGTTTTTCTTCTAAGTTTATTCAATGAAGGACAGATGATTCAGCGAGAGAAAGGACTTCCCATTGATATGATGTCTCTTGCAAAGATCTTGCTCACCTGCAGAGTTTACTGATTCCAGTACAGTCAAACTGGGGAAGTTGGGAGTCAGTGGGGTATAGACGAGCAGTGGTTCTGTCAAAGGCATCAGTGGGTTGGAACTGACAGGGCTGGGGTGAAGAACACTGACAGGGGCTGAATTTGCCTGGCTCTCCAGGTGCTGGTCCAGATCTTGGTATTCCAAGAGATCAATTCGCTTGCCCAGGCTTGGACGAGGCGGCTCACAAGTTGTGAGATGCAAGTAAGTGGCCATCAGACTCTCTCCTAGAGATTTCCACCTGCATGGAAAACAGGGAAATAAAAACATGAACGAAGGTGAATCGACGTGTCCCAGGTTAATGTTGCAGCATCGAATCTGGGTCGGTGTCGGTCGGTGCTCCATTCAAAATCCAAGAAAGAAATACTTAGACTCCATAAATTAGAGGAAAGAATTCTTTTACTGAAAAATGAAGTGGTAACACCAGTAGGATTCTGAATCTGAGAAATTAGGCGCGCAGATCACATATACAAAGGGATGGAATTGTTCCCACCCCCCAAAGTTCAAAAGATTCTTCCAATTAAAAGTTCTGAATATGATCATGTGGACATCTTCAGGTGATGATGAGGCCTCTGTCCGTTGACCTTGGCATATTTTGATAAAGGTTTGCAGCTGCGCAGAAAAAGGAAAGCTAAGCGAGAAATAGAAACCTAAAAGCAGGAATTTATACTCCCCCCACTCCTCATTTACACAACACAAGAATGTAACACCTCCAGCTCTCTTCCCAGACAATATCCCCCCTCCTCCCCCCGTTACTTATGGCAGCCAAAAGATGCAAAGCAGTAGTAGAAGATCTTGAAGGCTGACAGTCGATCACCACCACGAATCATGAAGCTACGCCATTACTGTCAATGCACCTTCTTCACATTCAAAAGTGAAATGTATGAACAAAAGAGACATCCCAGCATCAGGAGTCATTGCAGAAAACAGTCCTGCATGAACTAGAACACTGTGCATTTCAGAACTACACACCTAAATTCTGGTGATGCTACGTGGATGACGTGTTTGTCATCATCAAGAGAAATGCACTTAAAGACTTTCATACTAAGCTGAACTCCATCTTCTCTGATATGCAGTTCACAATGGAGGAAGAAACAGCTAGGCAATTACCATTTTAGATGTACTTGTCAACAGACAAGAGGATGGAAGGCCTAGAAACCACAGTAAGGCCATAGATTCTGAATTTCAACAGCAACCACCCTCTGTCACACAAAAAGAGTTGCATCAGAACAATGTATGGCAGGGTGAGAACCCACTGTAGTACCCAGCAAGCCAAACAGCTGGAGAGCAGGTACCTACTTGAACAATTCAAGCAGAATGGGTACCCACAATCATTTGTCACAAGGCATCTGCGCAACATGGTGGGAAGAGAAAGGAAGAAACAAGCTGTAAGACCATAAGACCAACTACATGGCACACTCTGCCATACCTCAAAAACATCGCACACCGCCCAGAGGCTACCTTACGAGGACAAATCATGCACCCGTAAAGTTTATTTGGAAGTGGGAGATACTTCCAATGTACCGAAATTACCAAATCCCATGCGTGGATTGGCCTTGTGACTATTCAGGACAGATGGGGAGGAAGCTAACCACCAGATTGCAAGAACACAAGTGAGTGATGGCCTCACACTACAACAGCCTCACACTGCAATGAACAAGGACACACATTCAATTTTGCAGCTACTAAGATTGTCAGATGATCAGGCACAAAAACAGACAGGGGAACAGGAACAATAGTTTGGCAGAATCCATTGCTAATTTTATGGTAGCAGCTAAAATCCTGCGGTAGACAAGCACATCTGGCTAAAAGGGCAAATTCTTTTGGTAATCTTAGGATATGCATGCACACCTATTCATATATGTACGTGCAAGGGCACACGGCCGTGGGGGTGGGGGGAGGGGTTGTTCGTATTTTCTGTATTGAAAAAGTGCTGTGGAGGAAAGGAGGACTATTTGCTGAGGTGCTGAAGTTCAGCTGGGCCTTCAAAATCTCTTATGAGCGAACTCCCTCTCCATCTGCTAGGACAGGGGTGTCAAATTCAAGGCCCAGGGACCGGATCCGGCCCACGGGATGCTTAGATCTGGACCACCCTGGAAACAGTGAAGGACCTGCCCGCAGTTCCATTTTTGCTGGCAGAGGGTTGCAGGAGGCCATTGCAGCCAAAAACGGAGCTCGGAAGCCCATTTTCACTGGCAGAACGCTTGGCCCACCACATGCACCCACAACACGAGTGGCATTGAGCTGGCCATGCCTACCTTGGCCACACCCACTCTGCCCCCCCCCCCCCCCCAAGATCAAACACAACCTTGACGCAGCCCTCAATGAAATCGAGTTTGACACCCCTGTGCTAGGATGACTACCCAGGAAGGTTGAGAAGACTAAGGACTTCTATACCATCAGCCACTCCAGAACTTTCCCATCCTGATGGAGAAGTCTTGATCCTTAATCCTTGGAGGTTCTGACAATATCCAAAGAAAGATTGGGAAGGAGCCAGGCAAGAGTGAGGAGATCCCTGCCTATGTGCCGTGGTTGGGAGACATGATCTTCACAACCACCTTTTAGGAGACTCCAGAGGAAAAGGGCATGGCTCACCCACAAAGAATTAATTTGCAAGAATTGATTGGGAAAGTGAGAGGAGGAAATGGCATTCGACCTGGCTTTTAATCAAAATTGTGCACCTCTATAATAAGCTGATAATAATGAGCAGAAACATACGTGAACAGAGAGATCGGCTGGGCAAGCTTGAGATCTGGCTCAGTCTTCCGTGCCATCAAAGCCTGCCTTTTCCTGCGCAGCTCCAGGGCTTCCTCCAGAATTGTTTGTGTTTCTGATGCACTCACAGGCACATCGCACACTGGCAGGTCACTGAAAAAGAATCAGATTTCAACATGTAAATTATTTATTATTGGCCAGAAGGGCCCAACAGAGACTCCATTTCTTAGGGTCTTGCGAAAGAATAAAGTGGAACAACGACTGACGGCCTCCTTTTACCGGTCCAGCCGTGGATAGAAAGGCACTACAGAGGGTGGTGAGCCCAGCACAGAACATCATGGGCTGTTCCCTGATACCACTAGATGACCTCGCTAGGACTCGCTGCCTTAGAAGAGTCCTCAGGGACGACTCCCACCCCGGTCAGCACTTCCATCGGGGAGGAGATAAGAGAAGCAGAGCCAGCCACACCAACAGGCTGAAGAACAGTTTCTACCCGTGGGCTGTCAGACTCCTGAACGGAAAATAACTTCATGTCAAGACAGTATGATAGACTTGCGGGGCTGGCGCATTGTGCAATAAGGTCACCTAGTGTAATAAGATTAGAACTGGGTTAGGGACTTCTGTCCTCGCTGTGAGTTGTGTTGGGTGTGTGTGTGCACGAAGGGAGGCTCAGCCAATCTCATTGTACACATGTTGTACTCTGACAATAAAGGTAATAATAATTTAGTTTTGCTGCTGTCCGAGCACCAACCAATCCCATTGGTATTAGTTTAGGTGTCTGAATAGAAGGATCAGTCTTAGGCAACAATTTACAAGCCATCGTGGTAGTCACAATCTCGATCTGACACCGGTACTGAGCAGTGGCCAGAATCTGTTGCTTGTATCCCTACCAATCTCTTGTCCTGAAGGAGCAGCGTCCTTCACTGCTGCTACACTTCACAAAAGCTAAACTTAAAAAGGTTCAGTGTTGGGTGCTCCGACATTGGAGGCTTTTAAGAAGAGACTGGACAGCCACTTGTCTGGGATGGTACTATAGGGTGTCCTGACTGAGCAGGGTTTGGACTAGATCAGGGGTCGCCAACCTTTTGGACCTCAGGGACCACCAAAATCATAATTTTAAATCCCGTGGACCACTAATATGAATCCAGCATGCCGCTCGCTGAAGCGCCTGGACTCCCACTGACAGGAGGGGATCCTTCAGGCACTTAGCTTGGCTGCCTGTTTCTGCAACCTTAAATACTCATGAGTCATTTGGACTCGTTTCCCACAGAAAACAAAACACTGGGATCTCTCATCTCTTTTTCTCTCATCTCTCTCTCTTTCCCTCCCCCCTCTCTTTGTCCCTTTCTCCCCTTTTCTCTTTCTCTCTCTCTCTTTCTCTCTTCCCCCTCTTTCTCCCTTCTCTTTCTCTCTCTTACCCTCCCTCTCCCTTTCTCCCTCTTTCTTTCTCTTTCCCTCTCCCCCTTCTCCCTTTCTCTCTCTCTTAACCTCCCATCCTCCTGTCCCTTTCTCCCTCTTTCCCTCCCTTTCTCTTTCTGCCTTTCTTCCTTTCTTTCCCTTCCTCCCTTTCTTTCTCTTTCTCCATTTCTCCCTCTTTCTCTTTCCTTCCCTCTTTCTCTCTTCTCCCCCCCGCCCCCCCGTCCCCAGGCGTGGGGATAGGGGGAAATAAACTTTTGAACTGGTGCTGGGTGGTGAGAATCTGATGTCCGGAGGCCGATGAGCCACGTGCTGAAGACCAGATGGCTGGTGGGGAGGTGGGCCAACAGTGGCGATACGGGCAGCGGATGGACTCAAAAGCGTAGGAGATCGCGGCATCGGAGCCCTTCCTGGGTGTACGCTGGCCTGCGAGGGGGTGGGGGGAAAGGAACCTCGGTACCGGTGTTACCTTCTGCCTCCGCGTATCAAGGAGGTTGAGTGGCTGCCAGCGATGCTCTCAGGTGAAGATGTTATGAGGGGGAGGCTCAACTCCCTCCCCTCAGGAGCCTCCTTCCTCCTCGGCAGAAGCACTCACACGCAAAGCGCTCACCGCCCCTCTGGCACCACCAAGCCGCCTCCTTCCCGCTGGGCGTGTGAGCGCTTCTGGTGAGGAGGGAGAGGGGGTCGAGCCCCCCCCTTGCAACATCATCACCTGAGGGCATCGCTGGCAGCCGCTTCCTGGGGCTCAGGAGGCTGCAGCCCACCCAAATTTTCTCACAGACCACCAGTGGGCCGTGGCCCACCGGTTGGCGACCACTGGACTAGAAGATCTCCATGGTCCCTTCCAACTCTGTCATTCTGTTATTCTACAGATTGAAACAAACCCTGCCCACCACTCCTGCGGTCCAGGGAAAGGAGGCAACCAGGAAAAAGGACTTAAATACGCCCTGTTCACATTCGTAACTACGTGTCTTTGGTGTGAGAATGGAAGTCACAGCACAAGTTGGGGGTTGGAGATTTGCATTTAGTTTGCTGCCTACTTAGCCATAAATTAGTCTTGAGAAAACACCTAACAACCCAGTCTATTGCTCTGACTAACAGAAAGAAAGAAAAAAGTCAACCTTCCGCTTCACAAGTTCTTCAGGGAGAAGATAATCTATTCCTTTCCAGTTGAAATTTGTATAAGACCCAAACAAAACCCTGCAGACGGTCAACTTAGTGGGGCCTTAGATGACTGGTTGACTTTAATTTTATTATATTAATGGAATCATTACCTTGAAATAAAATACAGCATGAAACAGAGATGGATGAATTAGATGAGACACATGTGAATGAATTAGGGATGTAGAATTAAATAAAAAATATAAATGGTTTCTGGATCAATAAAAGTTGCTTTATTTACCTACCAAATATTTCCCCTAATATCAAATTTCTGAAGTAACCCAGAGGTACACTATTTGTTTGGAAATTCACACCGCATCTATTTCTGAATTCAGAGAGGGTAAATATTGCAACCTTGAGCGCAAATTTAATCCTCTATAGGACATAACACACCAGACACCAATCTGCACGGTTATAGAAAGCTCCCTCAACCTGGTGAGCCACGCTGTTTGCCAATCTCGCGACAGTAAGTTGTGACGACTTCCAGCGTAGCCCCAAATGTGAAAACAAGGAAGTCATTTACCCTTTCAGAAACATCCTTAAGGAATCCCTTCTGAGGCACGGCTGTTCCTCAAAGATCTTCTCCTTAATAACAAGTCCTTTGCTGTAACAGTTGTCTCTTTCCAGGGCTTTGCAGATAAAATACAAGCACGCTGAGGGCATCAACAAAGAAGGAAGCTATGTGTTAATGCTTTCCTGGGCCCTTTTGTGCTAGCTCTTTACAGAAGTTACAAAATAAAGTTTATCTATATTGTTGAGACCCATGCATGGTAACCATCCTGATCCTTGACTTAAAACCACAACTGAGATTGGAACTTGCATCACTAAGCAATGCTTTCTTTAAGTGAGTCACGCCCAATTTTGAAAAGTTTCCCCCCTGTAATTATTAAGTAAATCTGGCTCCCCGGCCCTTGACTTTTGCTTGTTGGAAGCTCCTTGAGAAGGTCACAAATATAATCACATGATCCTGGGACATGGCAGCTGTCATAAATACATGACGGTTGCCAAGCACCAGAATTTTGATCATGGATCACAGTTTTAAGTCACGTTTTTCAACACTTGCAAATTTTAAACGAGATGTTTATTGTGACTGTCTAGATTGCCTTGAGACTGAGGAGGCAACAGCAGAACAAATAAAGAACAGAATCATCTTCTGTACGAGCACCATCAGACAGGGAGAGGAACTTTGCCATCCATCTGTCCTTTTCTAACTGTGGAATTAAGATATAAATAAACTGAAAAACAAAACACCATAGGCATATATTAAGCATGTTTCATAACTTGGAGGCATGCGTAACTGCTACGTACTGGTGCTCATCAACCCTCCAACCTGCAGTTTCCAAGACTGCTTGTCTCCAACGCCGCAGGAAATTCTAAATTAAGAAAAGCAGGAAGGACCTACTCGTGTAGTCGCTGAGGGTGTAGAGGAGGGTGATGAGGTTATCTAGACAAGGCCAATGGTCTGGATTACAGGCAAGCCCTTCTTCAAAAGCATGTCGTGCCAGGGGCAGGCGAGTAAGCCGGAGGGCCACGTGGCCAATTTTATACCAGAGGTTGACATCTGTGGAGTCAAGCAGCACAGCCTGCGAAAGACAGCAGACCACAGGATTTTCAGGTAAACTGGACCGTCAGAAGCTGGAGGCTACCCACTCTAACCTTCCCAGAAGAAAGCTGAAAACTACCCCTCCACCCTCTCCAGGGGTTTGGCACCTGTCCCCGACACCAGGACGCAAAGCCACATTTCAAAGCGCAGAATCTAAGGAAAAATTCTCAGATGATTTTAGTGTTTGCTAAATGCTAACATTTAGAATATTACTTTCAGATGGTTTTTTTTTTTTTGAGGTATTTACTGAACAATTATTTATTTGCATCCACATTTAGCTACATTAGCCAGGGGACTACATTGTGAGTACAAATTAGGTGTTTGGCTGCCAACAATGGCTGTCCATTCAGTTTATGCTCATACGCTATCCAGAGCGCTCCAGAAGGGGTAAACTAGCTCCACACTCAGAAAAGTTCAAAGGCATTCTGGAGCTCCATCGGGGCTTCTCCCTCCACCACTGTCGCCTTGTGCTCAGCCTTGCATTGGGGAAGGTCCAGATCTGGCTGGATCCACACACCGTATGAAATGCCATTATTTCCCCACAGAAGTGGTACCTGCTTATCTATTTGCATGTAGCCTGCTTTCGAACTGCTAGGTGGGCAGATGCTGAGGAAGTGACGGGAGCTCACCCCAACACATAGCGCTAGGAGTTGAACCTCGTCCTAGCAAAGACCATCTCTAGATTCTTTAAGCTACTGAACCACCTCACTTGTCTTGCTCAACAATAACAAAAGTAAATGGCATATGGAACAAGAAATACCTTGGTACAAAAACTTTACAAGGACAGAAAAGACTTCCATGTTTAAAAGGAATGTTAGCAGAACACCTACGCTTGAGACAAACACTGTTGGCAAAAATGGGGGGGGAAAAGGGGGGGAGGCAACTACAATAGGTCTTACACAAAGGAAAGGGACCTGGGCAATGAAGCCGCTACAGCAGCTGAGACAGGTGAGACTCCCCCACTTCCCCCCAGTCATTTTTTGCTTCAGCATCAGCCCATGTGGAACAGAGGGGAGAGGGACCACGGCCTACCTCCAGGTAGAATTCCATAGCTGTCTCGATGTCGTCTCGCTGGGCAGCCAGCTGCGCCAAGTTCTTGTAAGTTGAATACTTCAGCATCAAGCCCGGATGCTTCAACCCCTCCCTCTCATCTCCAGATGCAACTGCCTGAAAATCGGAAGAAAGGGGAAGAAAATGTTTTGCTGTAATGATGATTCAAAAGATCACCAAATGACCTTTCATGGCTGCTCCCTTGGATCTAAGATATAAAACAAGCCCTGCTATCCACAGCTGCCATGACTAAAGCCAGGAGGACTTGCCTTTCAAAGCCCCAAAGCGTGTGTGTGTGTGTGTGTGTGTGTGTATGTGTGTGTGTGTGTGTGTTTATGTGTGTGTATGGATGTGTGTGTGTGTGTGTGTGTGTGTGTGTGTGTGTGTGTGTGTGTGTTACTCAGCTTTGTTTGGGTATTTTCCCACGTCTTTACAATTGTGCTTTTAAAGTTGTAGGGACGTTTCGGCAGAATCTCATCTGCCATCATCAGGCTCATGTATTGGGTTTGTCTTTGTCATTTGTGTCAGAAGAGATGACTCCACCAGACTGTCAATTATCTGGAAGCCTGCACTCACAAACAAAAAAATCTCCACACCACAAGCCAAGCAAACACCTGGGCACAAACAGACACACACACCCCCATACCTCTAGCCCAAACACACCCCAGCCAGCCACCCAGATGAAACCTAGCTTCCTAATAAACGATTCACCTGAAGCCAAGCTGTGCTGAAAGCCCCCAATACACCAAACACAATGCTGCCAGCTAATCAAGACAAAAAAATGCTACAAAACAGACAGAAGATATTAGAAACACCAATCAAGCAGAACACAGCCAACTCCAAGACCAATAAACACAGATGAAGACTCCCAACCAATCAGGATGAAGAAAAAAATCATTTGAACAAAGCACAAGGCTAGCACCAAATTTAAAACAGAAATGGCTGTGAAAGCCTGACACACACGACAAAAATGAACCCAATACATGAGCCTGATGATGGCAGATGAGATTCTGCCGAAACGTCGCTATAACTTTAAAAGCACAACTATAATGACGTGGGAAAATACCCGAACAAAGCTGAATACCATACATATAAATACCCATGAAAACAGATAGATAGATAGATAGATAGATAGATAGATAGATAGATAGATAGATAGATAGATAGATAGATGATAGATAGATAGATAGATAGATAGATAGATAGATAGATAGATAGATTTTCACGGGTACGGGTATGCAGGTCTTGGCTTCTTCAGGTCTTTTCCCATGTAAGATTGAGAGTATGTTGGCAACGTTTCGATGAGGTCCCACTCGTCATCTTCAGGCTGGTGCTTTCGGCTTCATGCTTGTGTGAGCAAAGTGTGATCGGAGCTGCCGTCTCCCTATAAATACTGGTGGGGAGGTTGGCTGTGTTGTCATTTGTTGATTGGTTGATGGAGTTGATGTTTGCAGATTGGCTGGCTTTTTCGTAGGAACATGTGTGGCTGAGGTATTGGCTGTGTGTCTATCAGCCTCCTGGGTCGTAATGACCTGTGTCATGGGCTGTGTGATGACCTTCTGAGTTCTATTGTTGTGGCATCCTGGGTCTCCTGGGTCGTTGGCTGTGTTGCAACATCCTGAGGTTTTGTGGTGTAACTTCCTGAGTTCTGTGATGTGATATCCTGAGCGGGTGGCTGTGATGTGACATTCCTGGTTTTGGTTTGGCTCCGAGTTTGAGGCCTGGATATGTGTTCATGGCGTGTGTCCGTTTGCTTGGTTTGGGGGTCGGGGTATGTGGCAGCTGGTGATGCAGCCATGGTCTGGTTTCTGGATGGTGGTTGTCTTTCGTCTATGGGATGGGTTTGGGTTTGAGTCTGGTGAGGGAGAATGGTGGTGGTGTCATGTGTTGTTTTGGGTCCGGTGTTGGTTTTTGTGGCTGGGACTCATTTGTTGATAATGTGATCCTGGACATCCTAATTTACAAAAAAAACAATGGCTCCCTAGGACACACCATCCACCGGAAGAAAACACACACCAACTGCTAACTTAAATGCACAATCCCATCACCACCCTGCACAGATCAACTCCATAGCCAAAACCCTCATCTCCAGAACCAAACGCCTAGCTGACAAAGACCACCTGAGAACAGAATTACACACCCTCACAAACGTATTAATTTCCAATGGATTCCAAAGAAGCACAATTACCAACCTAATCCTAAGGGAGACACCCCCCCCCCCAGAAACCGAGACACAGAACAGGACAATGGTATCGTCCTCCTCCCCTACATCAAAGGCACCACAAATAAGCTCAGCAAAATTCTTCACAAACACAATATCAGGACAGCCTTCGGCACTTACCAAAAAATAACCAACATCCTAAGAAACCCCAAAGACAAGATCCAGCTAGAAAACCAAGGAGTTTATGAAATACCATGCAACAATTGCCCAGCCACATACATTGGACAAACCAAGAGGAGAATAAATGCACGCATCACAGAACACAAGAACGCAGTCAGAAAAGAAGAAAATACTTCCTCCCTTTTCCAGCACCTTAAAGCCACAGGACATGAAATTAATTTTCAGGGAACCAAATTAATCTCCAATACTGAACACTTCAACAAGACAATAATCAGGGAAGCCATCGAAATAGAGAAACACCCCCATAACATGAATAAACGGGATGATGCCTCCCACCTACCAGACATCTGGAAACTAGCCCTTACCAAAAAATCAGTCCCAGTCACGAAAACCAACACGGGACCCAAAACAACACATGACACCACCACCATTCTCCCTCACCAGACTCAAACCCAAACCCATCCCATAGATGAAAGACAACCACCGTCTAGAAACCAGACCACGGCTGCATCACCAGCTGCCACACACCCTGACCCCCAAACCAAGCAAATGGACACAGGCCATGAACACATATCCAGGCCTCAAACTCGGAGCCAAACCAAAACCCGGAACGTCACATCACAGCCATCCGCTCAGGATATCACATCACAGAACTCAAGAGGTTACACCGCAAAACCTCAGGATGTTGCAACACAGCCAACAACCCAGGAGATTACGGCACAAGACCCAGGATGCCACAACAATAGAACTAAGAAGGTCATCACACAGCCCATGACCCAGGTCGTTACAACACAGGAGGCTGATAGACTCACAGCCAATACCTCAGCCACACATGTTCTTACGAAAAAGCCAGCCAATCTGCAAACATCAACTCCATCAACCAATCAACAAATGACAACACAGCCAACCTCCCCACCAGTATTTATAGGGAGACGGCAGCTCCGATCATGCCTTGCTCACACAAGCACGAAGCTGAAAGTACGCGCATATGTATATACGTGTGTGTGTGTGTGTGTGTGTGTGTATTTGTATATATCCCTCCCTCCCTCGTTAAAAAAAAAATCAACAGCAAATTCAAGATTGGCCTAGAAAGAAAAATACTCTAAAAGACAACTCTCTCTGATCTTCCCATGTAAGAACCCCTGGTTTTAGCCTGAAGATGCATCCAGAACTAAGCCCTCCACTCCTGCCACGTAAGTGTTCATAGGAGTGAAGAACCAGAAGGGGGGAGGGGTGTCCAGGGGTAAAAAGGAACTCTGCAGAGGCCCTTCTAGAACCATCTGGGCAGGTGAGGCTGGCAGGGGAGGGAGATGATCCCAGGTCCTTGCAGGAATGGGCTGTGCTGGGGAAGGACATCTCCAGGCCACTTCAACTCATCCTCCACCTGTTTCTATCCACAGCCACCCTTGTCACCTGGAAAGCCCATGCCTTTAATAGTGGTTCTGACGTACAGATTAGTTTCCATCTATCCCTTCCGTAAACACCTTTAATAAGGCTGATCAGCTTATGGTTATAAAGAGATTCTTCAGATTGCAACCCACTAAGACAGGGGTCCCCAACCCTCAGGCTAAGGCCCACTAGCGCAGTGGCCCCCAACCTTTTTTGTGCCGCGGCCCGGTACAGGCATCACAAAATGATCCGCGGCCCGGTACCGGCATCAGCACACATGACAAGGCAAGGCGAGCTGAGCAACCAGCCAGCCAGCCATCCCCTGCTTCTCCCTGCCACCTTCAACTCCTCCTTTGTACCTTTGTCGATGGGCTTCGCTTCGGGACGGCTTCGGGACAGTCGCTCGGCTCGCCTTGCCTTGGGTGCTGAAAGAATCCTTGCGCCTTAGTTTCGTTCGAAGCCCCCCCCCCCTTCGATGAAACTAAGGCGCGAGGATTCCTTCAGGACCCAAATGCCGCTTTCCAACCAGAAAAGCTCACCCGGAAGCACTTTCTCATCAAACAAGATGGCGGCGCCCAGCAAACCAGCGGCCCGGTAGGAAATGTTCCACGGACCGGTACCGGTCCGCGGCCCGGTGGTTGGGGACCCCTGCACTAGCGGACCACAGCCTGTTCAGAACCAGGCCCACGAGCAGCAGGCGAGCACGTGCGCCCAGCTCCACTCACATGAGTGGCGGGCCCTTGCAGCTCCGTTTGTGTGAGCAGCAGCTGGGCGTGCCCGCCACTCACACAACACCCCCCCCCCCCGGCTAGGTTGCTAAGTCAGAAAGATTTGGAGACCCTCTGCCCTAAGAGATCTTCCATGGCAGCCAAGCCAAAGATGCCACCTCCCAATTAGACCAAGAAGCTCGCCCCCCCCGCCCTTGACATCAAGCAGAAGAGGGACGTCCCTTCTTCACTGACCTCGCGCAACAGGCGGGTCTCCAGCAGTTCGTGGTAGGCTTTGGCCGATTCATCAAAGAGGTCATGCTTCTGAAGGTCCAGCGCTTGATGGTAGAGGGCAAAGGCTTCCGCTTCCTAGAGAGCCAGAGACACGGGGGGGGGGGGGGGGGCTTGATTAAACAGCCCACTCCAAAAAAGGAACAAGGCTCCTGCCACTCTGAAATCTTAAGGAGACGTTAATTTTACCAGATGCTTTACCAGAGGCACGCAGGCTCAGAACAAAGACAAGCTTTTGCAGCAGTGAAAGGCAACAGGGCTCCTTTGAGTGGAATTCTTTCAGGGCTTCCACTCTGCTTCGGAGAAGGTGCCTGGCGGGGCTGGGTTGCTTCTTCCGAATTTTCTTCCAGACCACCCCCATGTTTAGCAAGACAGCAACACAAAACTCCCCCCCCCCTCATCACACCATAAAAGATAACTTCTGGCTTTTATAAGTTTTTCTTCCCTTCGAATGCAGCTGAGAAAGGATCAAGGTTTTTCTTATTGGTTGGCATGTTCATCAGAGCACTCTGTATATTCCCTTTTGCCATTTTCTTTCTGAAAATGATAAGCGAAAACCGGTCTGACCTTGATGAATATAAATCACCAAGATCTGATGGATTACATCCCAGGGTTCTGAAGCAGCTGGCAGAAGTTATCTCAAAACTATTGTGTCATATCTTTAAAAAAATCTTGCAGCACTAAGGAACGACCAGAGGACTGGAAAAGAGCTGATGTGGTTTCCCAGCTTCAAAAAAGGGAAAAGAATCAGACCCAGGAAATTACAACCCAATTACCTTAACATAACCTGGGAAGATACTGGAAAAATAAAATAAAAAAACAGATCTATGAACAAATAAAGTTATAACTAGTAGCCAGCATGGGTTTGTTAAAACCAGATCATGCCAAACCAATCTTATTTCATTCTTTGACAAAGTGACTAAATTAGTAGAGCAGTGAAATGCTGTGGACATACTATATTTAGACATCAGCAAGGCACTTGACAAAGTATACCACAATCTACTTCTAGGTAAGCTAGAAAAATGTGGGATAGGTAGCATCCGTCACCACCAGATGGATTTGTAACTGGCTGACAAACCAAACTCAACGAGTAGTCCTTAATGGTACTATATCTACTTGGAGGCTCAGACTTAGGCCCAGGACTCTTCAATATCTTCATAAATGACTTAGATGAGGGAGTAGAAGGCGAACTCATTAAATATGCAGATGACACTAAGATGGCAGGAGTAGCCAACATCCCAGAAGACAAACTCAGGATCCAAAAAGATCTTGACAGACTTGAATGGGCCCTATCAGACAAAATGAAATTCAATGTTGAGAAAAGTAAAGTCTTACACTTAGGCAAGAAAAACCAAAGGTAAAAGTACAGATTAGGGGAAACCTGGCTCAGAAAGTAACTGTTAGAGGGATCTTGGAGTCTTAGTGGACAATCACTTAAATGTGAGTCAGCAATGTGTGGCAGCAGCCAAAAAAGTTATTATAATACTTATTTGTATAAACAGAGACATAGAATGAAAACCACGTGAAGTATTAACACCGCTTTATAAAGCCTTAGTAAGACCACACCTGGAATATTGCATCCAGGTTTGGTTACCACATTACAAAAAGGACTGGGGGGAAATGATAGCAGTCTTCCAGTATTTGAGAGGCTGCCACAAAGAGAAGGGGGTCAATTTATTTTCCAAAGCACCAGAAGGCAACTGACAAAGGAGAGAAGCAACCTGGAATTAAGGAGAAATTTCCTAAGAATGAGAACAATTAACCAGTGGAATTAGCTTGTCTTCAGACATTGTGGGTGCTTCATCACTGGAGGTTTTTAAGAAGAGACTGGACAGTCACTGAAATGGTATAGGATCTTCTACTCAAGCAGGGAGCTGGAATAGTCGATCTCCAAGTCCCTTCCAGCTCTATTCTGATCCTGAGCTCTCTTTTCCAATACAGAACAATGATCTGCTTCATTTGCTCCAAGTTGGATACACCCATTGGGGTAAATTTCATATCTGGGGTACACAGTTCAAAAGTACATTTGTATATCTAAACTGAAATATCTTAGTATCACCATATCAACAATCTTATACAGCAGCAGCCCCCAACCTTTTGGGCACCAGGGATTGGTTCCAGTGGGAGAGCTTTTTCTGGTTCTATAGAGGAGGTTTTTCTGTGGACCGGAGGGGAGTGATTTCACTCCCATGTGTGCACAGATGGGTTTCGCTCATTTGCGCAGCCCGCAAGCCAGTGCCAGTCCTTAGCCTGGGGGCTTAGGGACCCCTGTCATAGACAGTAAACTTAAAAGTTTGCACAGATCCTTTTGAATTGTCATTTTTTTCTGCTTAAATATGACCTAACCATGGTCTGTTCTCCACACTTAAACCTGATAAAGAGAATCCAATTAAATAAATGAGACAAAAGCATTTCACTTGTTCATTTATTGAGTAAAATATATTTTAGCCTACTTGCTTAATTGGTTCTCTTTATGTAGATTTAGGATCACATTTTAAGTTATATTTATGCAGATTGGTTTTTGAATGCAAAAATTCAAAAATTTTCACAAACTTTCAAGCATTATTTTGTACAGATTAGTCCTTCTCAGGTATAAGAAATGAATCGGGATAGAGTTCAAAAGTATTACTAATTTGTTTTACGCTACCTATACACAAGAATCTAAACTACTAATGGTCAAGGCAATTTGGAGAGGTCTCTTACATGGGCGGAGAGACTCCAAACAGAGGATGAGTTTGACACCTCAATACAAGGTAACGGCTGTTTATCAGGCTAACAGGCAAGAAGAGCTCAGCAGACGTTTTGGGCATTTAAGCAGCCTTGCTCCCTTGAGCCCTCACATGCCACCCAGCAAGGGCTTCAGGGCCTGCTAGAAAGTGAAAGAATTAGAGCTTACACAGAGTGTACCTAACTCAACTTTTGATTTCCTGCTGAGCTGAGCTCCATTGTAACCTAAAGTGCCAACTGTAAAGATAAAGCCTCTAGGATAATTGCCGGATGGTCTCACTTGTAACTTAAAATGTGTGTTCTCAGCAACCTAATGTGAGATAGCGCCCCCTAAACAAAGCTCTGAGCTATAGGCCAGAAAATGTATTCCTTTCCCCCTAAGGTCCTTTGTTTGCAGAGCGCTGAGAAAATCATGAGGTTTGCATGGACTAGTGCAGGGGTCCCCAAACTTGGCAACTTTTAAGACTTGTGGACTTCAACTCCCAGAATTCTCCAGCCAGCTATGCTTAGTATCACCATATTAACAATCTTATACAGCAGCGGCCCCCAACCTTTTGGGCACCAGGGATTGGTTCCAGTGGGAGAGAGAGCTATGCTGGCTGGAGAATTCTGGGAGTTGAAGTCCACAAGTCTTAAAGTTGCCAAGTTTGGAGACCTCTCGACTAATGGACATGAAATTATGTTTCTAACACTATGATGATCTATGCAAGCAATATGCCTAGACTCTAAAACGAAAAAAAGTTTTAGTTTTAGTGCACGCACCTGCTTTTCAAAGCCTTGCTGTTTAAGGTGGGAGACTAAAAGGTCGCCCAGTTTTGCTTTCTGATCAGAAATCAAAGTTGATTATCAGTTCTGAGCTGCACTCAAAAACCTTACATAAGAATCCACCACCCCAAGGGCCTTCAAACTTGGCAAGTTGAACACTTGTGGACTTCAATTCCCAGGATTCCTGAGCTAACATGACTGGAGGAGGAGGAATTCTGGGAGTTGAAGTCCACAAGTCTTAAAGCTGTCCAGTTGGAAGGCCCCTGCGCGACCATAAAGGCGCCTCTGATCCCGGAACCCGGCTGGCTGTTCTCCGCCGGAGACTCTCACGACCAGGACGGAGACCGGGGGAGCCACAGGGGCTCCCGGCCGGGGCCAGGCCGCGAGGAGGGAGGCCCGCCGGGCGAGTCACCTGCGCCTCCTTGGTCTGCGACTTGTGGCTCTTGAGGGTCCCCTCGGGGTCGTCCTCCACGGCCGAGCTGGCGTTGAGCGCGGCGATCCGGATCTGCGGAGAGAGAGCAACGCTCAGCCGCGGAGGGGCCCCCGCCGGAGCCCCGCCGCTCCGCCCCGCCCCCCCCCCCCCCGCCGCCGCCCCCGGGAGACACGGACCATGCTGGCCAAGCCGCGGTCCCAGCCGCCGGCGCACCACCGGGCAGCAAGGCGGCCGCCTATTGGCTGCCGAGTACTCAAACACACTGCGAGGGGCAAGGGCGAGCAACGCCCCTTCCGGTCTCGGCCGCTCTCGCCGCGCCTCTCGGCTGCCCCCACCCCCACCCCACCCGCCGCATTCAGCTGTTCGGGTGAGATCGGAGGGCTTCGGAAACGCGATTGGATTTGAATGTGTTTTGATGTTTTTCATAAAAGCGCGAAATAGACGTTCTTCTGCCGTGGTTGAGAAATACTTATGCAAATTATGGTGATTTGCAGTTGAAAGAGGGAAAAGTTGAACTTTTACAGTACAAATAGAAATCATTTTTTTCCCGTAAGCAATTAGGGAAGCTTTTTCCCCCTCTGCTTGTGAGCTTTGGTTATTCAGTGGCCACTGTGGATTTTTTCAATAGCTCTTGCTATTTTGCTGTGGTATTTGTGGCAGTTGCTTCAGTGTTCATCTTTATTAGGGTTGCTTGTACAATTACTATTAAGAAACGAAAATGTTGTTTCTAAAAATCAATAATAGTAAAGAGATGGACTGTAAACCTACAGACGGTATAAATAGAATAATAAAACAACTCACTTGGAAAAAGAAAGAAATAGACGTTCTTTTGTTATTTAAAGCAGAGGTCTCCAACGTGGACCCTTTCACCAGGAGGACTTCAACTCCCAGCTTTGCTGGCTGGGGAATCCTGGGAGTTGAAGTCCTACAGGCTGAAAGGGCCCACGTTGGAGACCTCTGCTTACTTTAAAGGGAAGGAGGAGGAGGAGAAAAAGGAGGAGAAGAGGAGGAGGAGGAGAAGAGGAGGAGGAGGAAGAAGAGGAGGAGGAGGAAGAAGTAGAAGAAGAAAGAGGTGGAGGAGGGAGAAGGAAGAGGAAAAGGAGGAGGAGGAGGGAGGAGGAAGAAGAGGAGGAAGAAGAGGAAAGAGGTGGAGGAGGGAGGAGGAGGAAGAGGAGAAGTGGAAGAAGAGGAGGAGGAGAAGGAGGAGAAGGAGGAGGAGGAGGTGGTGGTGGGAGGAGGAAGAGGAAAAGGAGGAGGAGGAGGAGAAGAGGAGGAGGAGGAAGAAGAGGAGGAGGAAGAGGAAGAAGGAGAAGAAGAAAAAGAGGAAAGAGGTGGAGGAGGAGGAAGGAGAAGAGGAAGAGAAGGAGAAGGAGAGGAGGAGGAGGAGGAGGAAGAAGAAGAAGAAGAAGAAGAAGAAGAAGAAGAAAGAGGAGGAGGAGGAGGAAGAAGAAGAAAGAGGTGGAGGAGGGAGGAGGGAGGAGGGAGGAGGGAGGAGGAGGAGGAAGAAGAAGAAGAAGAAGAAGAAGAAGAAGAAGAAGAAGAAGAAGAAGAAGAAGAAGAAGAAGAAGAAGAAGAAGAAGAAGAAGAAGTAGAAAAAGAGGAAAGAGGTGGAGGAAGGAGAAGAGGAAGAGAAGGAGAGGAGGAGGAGGAGGAGGAAGAAGAAGAAGAAAAAGAAAGTGGTGGAGGAGGAGGAGGAAGAGGAAGAAGAAGAAAGAGGTGGAGGAGGGAGGAGGAGGAAGAAGAGGAGGAGGAGGAGGAGGAGGAGGAGGAAGAAGAAGAAGAAGAAGAAGAAGAAGAAGAAGAAGAAGAAGAAGAAAGAGGTGGAGGAGGAGGAGGAAAAGGAAAAGGAAGGGCGGCTATTCCCAATAGCCGGGATAGTTTCTTCTCAGGGGAAAAGGCGGAGCGGCTCGGGAGGCGGGGCAGGCGGGCTCCCTCCCTCCGGCCGCACAAGATGCCCTTCGTGGAACTGGAGACCAACGTGCCGGCGGCGCAGCTGCCCCGCGACCTGGCCGCCCGGCTGAGCGCCGCCGCCGCCGCCATCCTGGACAAGCCGGAGGAGGTGCGCGGGGCGCGGGAGGGAAGGAGGGAGGGAGGGAGGGGGAACGGGGGCCTCCCTCCTTCCCTCCCCGGCTGACCTGCCCGCTTCTCCCCCGCAGCGCGTGGCGGCGACGGTGAAGGGCGAGCTGGCGCTGGCCATGGGCGGCTCGGCGGCGCCCGGCGCGCTGCTCTCGGTCTGGGCGGTGGGCGCGGTGGGCTCGGCCGAGCAGAACCGGACGCACAGCGCGCGCTTCGCCGAGTTCCTGGGCCGCGAGCTGGGCCTGGGCGCCGACAGGTGAGTCCCCGCCGGGGCGGCCGGGCGGGAGTGTCGGCCGAGGGTCTCCGGCTCTGACTCCACGCTCCTCCCGCAGGATCCTGATCCGCTTCCACCCGCTGGAACCCTGGCAGGTGGGCAAGAAGGGGACGGTGATGACCTTCCTGTAAGAGGAGACCGGCAATAAAGCGCTGCGCCCCCGGCCGCCGCCGCCGCCTCTTCTTCCTCGGGGGCGGGAGGGCGCCGGCCTCGGGTCTGGCCAAGGAGCTCCGAGCCGCCGGGCGGGCGGGGTCCCCGGCCTCCCCGCCTTTCCCCGGGGACCCTCGGGCCGTGGCTGCTCTCCTGGGCCCAGCTGGCTTTCCTCGCAGAAGGAAGCGGGGCCGGTGGGGGGAGGCTGGAGACGCCTGGGCACAAGCGACCTTTCGGCTTCCGGAGGCTTCTGGGCAGGCTGGGACCCCCGTTTCAAGTCGCTCGGCCGACACGAAGGCAGAGGGGATTCCTTGGGCAGCCCCAAAGAGAGCGACCGAGGGGGCTCCCTCCCGGTGGGAGACGGCCAGGTGTGCCAAGGTAACTTGGAGGCCAGGTCAGAGGACCAGTTGCCGGTGGGGTGGGGTCCCTGCGGTGAGGCAGGGGGGCTTTCCCTCTGCAGCAGGCCTCCTCGGCTTCTGAGCTCCCCTCCTGGCTCTTCTCCTCTGTCCCCTGACAGCTCCAGAGGAAGAGGAGAGCAGCATTTCGTGGTTGGGTGTGTGTGTGTGTGTTTGTGTGAATCCTCTTCTACAAATCAGTTTTACCTGTTTGGGGTTTTAGCCATCCAAAGCCCCTTGAATCAGCACCTTGAAGTCTACTGTTAGCCCCAGGCCTCCTCCTTTCCTCTCCGTGACAGGATGCTTATTGGTGGCTTATTGGCTTATTGGCCAGTTTCAGTAGGAGAGAGAAACTGGGATGGATTACCTGCCCCCCCCCCCCCCCAGAGCCACCCTGAGCCAGAGGCTGGGGAGGCGGGGGTGTCGGTGGGGAGGAAAGCCATGCAAGGCATGCAGGGACCCCATGGGACAAAATGGCAGCGGGGGTGGGTGGGTGAAGATAGGCAGGGATGGGGGTCCTGCAGCATCCCTTCTTCCATTGGTCATAAGGGCAGTGGTCCCCAACCTTGGCCACTTTAAGCCTGGCGGACTTCAACTCCCAGAATTCCCCAGCCAGC